TTCCTAGACGGCATCTCACTCTGTTGCCCAGGCTGGAATGCAGTGTCGCGATCTCAGCTCACTGCCACCCCTGCCTCCTGGCTTCAAGCAATTCTCTGCCTTAGCCTCCCGAGTAGCTGGGACTACAGGCACCCACTACCACGCCCAGCTAATTTTTGTATTTTTTGTAGAGATGGGGTTTCATGATCTTGGCCAGGCTGGTCTTGAACTCTTGACCTAGTGATTCACCTGTCTAGGCCTTCCAAAGCTGGGATTACAGGTGTGAGCCACTGCGCCTGGCCCCCCAACCAGTTCTTTTTTTTTTTTTTTTTGAGACGGAGTCTTGCTCTGTTGCCCAGGCTCTACTAAAAATACAAAAGTTAGCCCGGGCTGGAGCGCAATGGCGTGATCTTGGCTCACTGCGACCTCTGCCTCCTAGGTTCAAGCGATTCTCCTGCCTCAGCCTCCCAAGTAGCTGGGACTACAGGCATGCATCACCATACCCAGCTAATTATTGTATGTTTAGTAGAGACATATATTTAGTAGAAACCATATGGTTTCACCATACTGGCCAGGCTAGTCTCGAACTCCTGACCTCGTGATCCTCCTGCCTCGGCCTCCCAAAGTGCTGGAATTATAGGCGTGAGCCACCGTGCTTGGCCCCCAGTTCTTTTAAGTAAGGGATTCATTCTTTCTGACTATTCCTTTTCTGTGTTCTTTTTTTTTTTTCCTCAAAGACTCTACTGTTTTTTCTTCTAAGTCCTGTTTTCTCAACCTTGGCACTGTTGACGCTTTGGATAAGAGAATTCTCTGTTGTGGGGGATGTCCTGTGTCTTGCAGACTGCTTAGTGGCAGCCTTGATCTCTGTCAGGTGGGTGTTAGTAACACCGGCCCACTCGCCCCCCGGCTGTGATAACCAAACAGGTTTCTAGACATTGCCAAATGTCCCTTGGGAGACAAAAATCACCCCAAATGAAGACCACTGCCGTGCACCAAAGGTTTCGCCACTGAGGTTACGAAATAAAAATTACCTTGTGGGTTTGGTTATCGCTTTGGTTCACCTTAATCCTGTACTTGAATTTCCTCCGTCTCTTGAGGTGATAGCCTCTTTTCTACTCCCTAGAAGACCATTTAAACATAATGTCTCATCCCCATCCCAGATTCAATCCAAGCAAAACCAAGTCATCGTCGGCCGCCCTCCTCTCCCCACCCCCGACTTCTCCAGCTCCGTTCATTCTTCTCCCATTTGCCCAGGTTTTGAAACATCAGTTGTTTTTAAAAGCCTCCTTTTTTCTCAGAACCCCCACATCCAATCAGTCCCCAGCTGTTCTAATTTTCCTTGGGAGTCATTTCTGCTTCCTGCCTTCTTCTTTAAGCCCACACAACTTCAAACTCACATTATTATTACAACATTAACTCTTCGCCCTGGCTCCAGGCGTTCTGTTTCATCCTGCACAGTGCTATCAAAACACATTTTTAAATGACTACTAAATTTTTGTTCCTTCTCCGTTTAATAACAAAAGGTTAGAAAATCAAGTTAAAACGCCCCTGCCTTAAAGACCTTCCTGTCAGACTTCTACTAGAATCTCCCTTTGCAGGCTGGTTATGGCGACTCATGCCTGTAATCCCAGCACTTAGGGAGGCTGAGGCAGGCGGATCACTTGAGGCCAGCAGTTCAAGACCATCCTGGCCAACATGGTGAAACCCTGTCCCTACTAGAAATATGAAAATTAGCCGGGTGTGGTGGCGTGTGCCTGTAATCCCAGCTACACAGGAGGCTGAGGCAGAGAATTGCTTGAACCTGGGATGTGGAGGCTGCAGTAAGCTGAGATCGTGCCACGGCATTTCAGCCTGGGCAGCAGAGCGAGACTCTGTCTCAAAAAAAAAAAAAAAAAGAATCTCCCTTTGCAGCCTCACTTCTTCACCATCCCAGCCTTCTTACCCTCCTCTTCCCTCCAGAGCTCTGGGCTCACGCCCACACCTTTGGTTTCTATATTTTGTGTATTGTGGTATAATATGTGAGACAAAAAAATACCATTTTCATCTTTTAAAAAAAATTTAGGAAGCCTTATTTATTTTAAAAAACTGTGGTCAAATACACAGAACAAATGCATTTGTCATCTTAACTGTTTTTTGAGGGTACAATTCAGTGGCATTACACATTCAAAGTGTTGTGCAACCATCACTACTATCAATTTCCAGAACTTTCTTGTCATTCCAAACAGAATCTCTGTACCCGTTAAATCAAACTCACCGTTATTCCCTGCCCTTGGTAACCTTGATTCTACTTTCTGTCTCTAGGGGTTTGCCTCTTCTTGATACCTCATATAAATGAAATCATACAATATTTGTCTTTTTGCTTTTGGCTTCTTTCACTTACCATGTGTTTTTCAAGGTTAATCAATGCTGTAACATTTAGTACAATTTCATTTCCTTTTATGGCTGAATACTATTCCATGCTATGGATATCTGTATCCATTCATCGCCTGAGCTACTCTTTATCCAAGGAGGCCTTTCATTTAATCTTCGATTATCCAATTTTAAGGCTCTGATCAAATTCCATTTCCTCTTTGAAACTTCCCGTGAGCTCAACGGCACATTAATTCCCATTCCTAAGTAGAGCATTTCACACCTAAATCTTTGTAAGATGTAACTGATTATACGTTTTCCCGTTCTTGTATTTTATAACGCAAGACTTTATGACTCTCCTTCTCTTTTCAGTATTTCATTGTACATGTTTATTTCCAGTAGAGTACTTGGCAGACAGCTGCTTCTGAAATACTTGTTGATTGACTATTGGTTTTCAGGAAATAAGTTTATCTCTTTTAAGAAGGTATATACAAAAACTAGTTTGGCATAAGCAAGTGTGTGTTTCATTTTATCAACAGATATTTAGCTGTGTTTATTCCTATTTTCTTTATAAGCCATTTAAAATAAAAGAACATAGTGTCTCTCCAAGTAAGTAATTAATTTTCTTCTCTAGCATTTCTTGAGGGCCCCATGTTCTCATTTCTGAGTCTCTCAGCTGTACACTCTCAGGCTCTGTTAATGTCCCCTTAGTTTCCCTCATTTCCCTCCCATTCTCCATCCCTACCCCCAGCATGCCCTGCCCCAACACACATTCCCACTTCTACACTCTTACCCGATACTTTATGTTGCTGTGAAAGAGGCATTGCTTAGGTGGGTCCTGTATTATAGGGGAGTATGTTGCCATTGGTGGTCTTGGCCAATTGATGAAAATAAGTACCTTTCAAAGAATCAGTTAATTGCAAAAGTCTGGTTTCAACTCTTTTTTCTTTTCTTTTTTTTTTTTAAAGGTAATCAGTTATTTAATTAGATTATTAGGACATTTAAAATACCAATTTGTGAGGATAAATTCCATTTGTCAGGACAAACACAGATCGCAGGTAGCCCTGGAGCCGAGGAATAGCTTTGATATTTGGTAAAATTTGTGAGTTCACAGCTTTCTGATCAATCTTGCGCTGCTCTGTAATCTCGTATTTCTCTTTTTCTGCGTTGAAGATCTCACCTTCCTGGTGTCTGGGCTTTTGCAGCTTCTTCTTCTTGAAGTAAGCATCAGTAAGATGTTTTGGGATTTTTACATTGCTGATATCAATTTTGGTTGAGGTGGCAATGACAAATTTCTGGTGCATTCTTCGCAAAGGAACTCGATTGAGGACCAGAGGTCCAGTCACAAGTAACAAGCCACTAGTCAGCTGCTTCAGGAAAACCACCCTCTGGCCCCTGTGGCGCCCAGTGAGGATGATCAGAATGGTCCCGGGGGTAATGCTGACTCGCAGTTTCAACTCTTAAGTGAGTCTGACACTGTTTAGTGGTTTCTTATCATCTACCTAAATTGTTTTCATGCAGTCATTTTCTTCCCCAGTGTTGGAGAAATCCTCTTTTGCTGTCTTCTTGGAATCGCTTATAGAGAAAAACAATATTATTTTCCCTTCGATACAAGTCTGCCCCTCAACAGCTTAATCATTTTTCATTGATGTATTTTCTCTTGTTTTTCAAGAGTTTAGAGTCATAAATGAGTGAAAATCTTCCTGTTAATCACGTAATTGCTGCTGTTCCTTGAAGGACCTATCAACCTGTAACATTTTACAAATATTTCTTAAAAAGATGATCTCTAAATGATCAGAATTCCTACAAATGAATTTCAATTTGTTTTTTGGCAAGAGCTTAATTCTCCCTGAAGGGATTCATCTCAATCACTCAGCACTATGTGTTTCTCCTGGAAATTCTTCATTCCAATGCCAAACATCTGCATTTCTATGTTAATAAGGCTGCAGTCACTTTTGCCGTATGCTTTAAAGACCTCAGACTTCTCTTTAAAAAGAGTGGACATTCCCCTCTCTTAAGAAGATTGCACAAATGTCTAGCCAAGACTTTAAATCCACCTAATATAAAATAATTTGGGGACTAGTTTATCGATGCTACATTCTCCTTCATTTCTAGGTGCAAAAATTCATATTTTGTTAAGCGTTAAGCTTTATTTATTTATATAACAGGTATTTAGTGATTACTTGTTGAATGGTAGGCACTGTGCTAGGCACTGGACATGTGATAACAAAGAAGGTGTATACAACCTGCTTCTCCAGACTGCGGAGTCTGTGGGAAGATACAAAGGAGTCATAGCCGATACAAAACGGTGTGGCAAGTACTCAGATACGAGAAGTTTAGACTGCGCTATGAGAGCTAGTAATAATAATACGGATGATGATGATAACAAGTGCATGCATGGCATGACTGTCCTTTCATTTGCACAGCAACTCTATGATATTGGCACTTATTATCTTCTTTTCCATATAAAAAAACTGAGGCACAGAAATATTAAGCAAGTGGCCTAAAGTCCTACTGCTAATAAGTGGCAGAGTTGATATTTAGTGACACCGAAATCAGGTTTAGTGATACTGAGAAGCCTTCCTTCTCAATGCTGTGCAAGCTTGGAGTTAACAGTGAGAGGAGTTTTCAGGATAAGGGCTAGAGGAGGCATATCCCACACTGAAGAAATAATATATATGAACCCTGGCATGGGAAAGAGCGAATCACGCTCAATTTCAGCAGGTGGAGGTGAATGGAGAAAGTGGTGAATTGCCAGCCTGGTGTAAGAAAAGGCAGACAGTAAAGGGTGAGGCAGGCCACATCCAAGACCTTAGATTTATTTTATCTTAAGAAGAGTAGGGTGTCATTGGGGCAGGATGATGACATGGTCCAATTCTCTGGTAGGGGGGCCGAGAATGGATTCCTGGGAGGTGACAGCGTCTGTGGGGATTTCTATGGGATTGCTATTACTGAAATTCAGATGAGGTGATGATGACAGCCTGTTGTAGGGTGAATGACGGGGGGAGCGGAGGGATGGGAAGGTCACTGATCTGTGGGAGGAAGTGTCCACGGGGACGGGTGGCTGGCTGTGCCTGGGGTATGGAGAAGGGTGACTGATACTCTTGCTTGGGTCATGTGGAAGCTAATGATGCCATCTTCTAAGACAGGGAAAAGAGAAAGCAGAACGCACTTAGTGTGAGGAGGGGGATGAGTTCACGGTGCAGATGATTTGGGGCATGTTATGTTTGAGGGATTGGTGGCTGGAAGGTAATTGGTTGGGTAGGTATGAAGCTTAAGAGACAGATGAAGTTTAAGGGACAAATCTGAGTTGTAGTTACACTTTTGGGAGCCTTCATCATTTAGATGATAACTGAAGGCCTAGATGCGCAGGTGATTGCCCTGGGGCAGGTAGAGTGAGAAGAAAAGGGGACCCAGGCCAGCTCTGAAGAATGACAGCATTAAATGAACCAACAAGGGGAGCAGCTCCTTTAATGGAAACAGAGAAGGGGTGGAGGGAAAGGTAGGAGAAAATCCAGAGGAATGTGTTGGCAAAGAAGCTGAAGAAGAAGACTTCAGGATAAAGGGTATAGACTTCAAGGTCAAATTCTACCAAGAGCTCAGTGAAAATGAAAGACAAGTGGTCTGATTGTAGATGACCTTGGCGAGAAAGGGAAAGTCAGTGGTGTGGGTAGAGGAAATAAGGGGAGGTTTGTAGAAAAACATGACTGTACACAAATTTTATAAAGAGGTTTGACTGTGAAGGGGCGGAGAGAGAAACCTGGAAGGAAAGAGAGGGTGGAAAGAATGTGTTTTTCAAGACAGGAGAATTAAGTTTAATTGCTGTTGGAAAGGAATAGGCAGACAGAAAGAGAAAGAAAAAGAGAAAGAGAAAGAGAGGGAGAGAGATTAAACATCCAAGGTAAGAAAGTGGGACGAAACGAATAATTGATAGGTCGGGGTCACCAAGGAGGCAGGAGGTGATGGGATTCTTGGCACAGGGACTGGTCGCTGTCACCTGGAGAGAATGGTGAAGCTGCAGATAAGTTTCACGGTAGCAATGAGAGTGTTGCTAACTGGTGGCAGGGTCTGCTTCCTTGGTAATCTAGATGGTGAGACCGCCTGATGGGGTGGGAGGTGATGGTTTCAGGACAGTGTCAAAGGTTTGAACAGCTGCTGGGTGAATGGAGAGAGGTGAGTGAGGAAACAGGAGGACTGGCAGGTAGCCTGGGAGAGGCTGGAAACCACGCCATCATGGGACACCCATTTCACAGACACATGCTTTTCTGTGGCATCCTGGGCACATGTTCAGAAAATGTTGGCAGGTAGATGAATGAAAGGTGGGGAGATTTTGTGGGAGGCTGTGTGACAGAATGGGAATAGTGAGGGGAGTTGGAGGTATTGGTGAAGAAATGGTTGAAGTGATGATCTTTGGACTCAAATTGGCTCTGAAAGGCAGTGAGGATGGGAGGGGCTGACAGGGAGAAGCTGGGGGGTGGGAGTGTTGATGTTGCAAAGCAGACGTGAGGGGGAATTGCGTGCTGGAGCTGGTGGTCTCAGAATGCCCGGCTTAAATAGAATCTTTCAAGGATGGGACATTTGCAGGTGGAGAAGGCCCTGTGGAGGGGCTGTGGGACTGGGTGACAGAGGGAAGTGGAGGGGTCATCTGGGTTGACCGAGAAGGGCACTTCCTGGCTGCCCTGAAATGTCTTGGCATTGGTTGGGGCTTCATGACCAATTTCATTATGATCTGAAAGGGGGAGATTACTCAGGCTTCCCTCTCTGTTCACAGTTGCTAGAGAATGAAATAGAAGCTCCAGTGTCAAAGTTATTGATTTCTTTCTCCAGATTGGAAAATCTAATATTAACACTGAACCCTTTCTGAGTATGGGAATATCCATGCCAGTTTCCATTTCTAGAAGAAAAAGCCTTCATTGGGTCAAATAAAAGGGTACATTCTGATACAAGGGCACAGTGTCAAATGGTTCTCCAAGAGGCAGTGATGGCAGTTGGCCCTTTGAAGGACTGAGGGAGTTTGTTCTCCAGGGGAAGGGAAACCCCAGCTGACATTTGGGAAATAGTATTTTTTCCTCCTAATTTGGAGAGGATAAGCAAATAGTTTTCATTGGAAAGTGAGAATTTGGGGGTGATTTGAGTTTGGGGTGGGGAGAAGGCTTTATTTTACACATTTGTAAAAATTTATCACTATAAAAAATGAAATTATTTTTATAGTGATAAATTACTACTTTTATAATAAGAGGTTTTTACTGAAAGCAAACATGAAAAGGAAAGAAAGAAAAGGAAGGGCAGGAGGAGGGAAGGGGAGAAGGAAGAAAGAAAGGGAGGGAGGAGAAAGAGAGTGTGGAGTTAGAGCAAAGGGAAATGTAGAGAGAGATAGTAAAATGATATCAGGCAAAGAATTGATCAGAAATGTGGAGGAGGGGGTCAGCTGTGTGTGATAAGAGACAGACTCACAGCCACCACAAGGTAACTGACTACTCAAAGCCTTGCTTTTCTGGGTCCACGGCAGTAGTTCCCAAACTTTGGTACACATTAGAATTACCTGGGAAGATTTATTAACCCTGATAGCCAGGTGTACTCTGACCTGATGCAATCAGAAGGTTGTGGGGTGGGAGCAGGCATCGCTGTTTTTTGATGATCCCAGGACGTTCCCTTGTGCCTCAAAGTTTGGGAACAGAAATTTCTCCTATGAGTTTGCACAAGGGCCCGTCCCGAGGTGCAGCGGGCACCTCCTCAACAGTGTTGCCCCTAGAGAGTTTCTGAGGCTGGCAGAAGCTCTCTTCAACACAGTCTAGGGCACCACATTCAGCTGTGGCTCAGTGCAAGCACATCTGGGAGGGGGGTTTCAGGTGTGTGTAGCTCTCTAGGGAACTGGCTTGGCCCCGGGGTAGAATTTAGATATTCTAGAATAGTGGTTTTCAAGCTGGTTCTGTAAAGCCCCGGGGAGCCAGAGAGGGGGTTCAGTCAGCAGGGGATACCCCTCTGTGTTTCAACCAGGGATGCTTTAATTAGATTGTTTCATATTTTGGGCTTTCGGGAAAGAAATTTTTTTGTGAAAAAACTTGAGAGGGGGAGAGAGAGAGAATAATTGATCTAGAATAGGGGTTGGTCAACTATGGCCTGGGAACTAAAACTGGTTTTCTATTTTTATATGGTTGGAAAAAAATTCATGACACATAAAAAACATGAGATTCAAATTTCAGTGTTCATGCATAGAGTTTACTGAACACAGCCCTTCATTTACATATTGTCTATGGCTGCTCTGCGGCAGAGCTGGGTAGCTGGGATAAAGACCCTATGAGCGGCAAACCCTCGGATATTCACTGTCTGGCTCATCACTGAAAATATTTGCCACCTTCTATTCTAAAAGAATCAGTGGAAGTCCTTATTTCTTTGTGTGTTTGCTTTTGCAGTTTGGTAATAGGCACCTCACCATTTCTATCAGAAAATTGAGAAAATGTACATGTGCATCATCTATACAAACAAATACTCTCCTCTCTCTCTCCCTCTGTGTGTGTGTGTGTGTGTGTGTGTGTGTGTGTGTGTGTGTGAGAGAGAGAGAGAGAGAGACAGAGAGAGAGAGAGAGAGAAAGAGAGAGAGAGAACTGACTCATTTCAAGACCTGTTTTCTCATTGCCCTGATTTGCCTTGTGAGATAAATATGTATCATTATTTTTTCTCCCTTTAAATAGACAGTTTTTACAGCAGTGGTAAGTTCACAGCAGAATGAAGCAGAAAGAACAGAGAGTTCCCATATACCACTTCACCCGCCCCACCCAGAGAGCCTCCTTTACTGTCAGCATCTGTTATCAGAGTGGTAGACGTGCTACAACTGGTGAACCCACAATGACACATCACTGTCACCCAAAGCCCATAGGGTACATTAGGGTTCATTCTCAGTGTTGTACGTTCTGTGGGTTTGGACAAATGTATAAGGCTGTGCACCCACCATTACAGTATCATGCAGAGTAGTTTCACTGCCCTAAAATTCCTCCGTGCTCCACCTATTCATCCCTCCCTTCCCCCAACCCCTGGCAACTACTGATCTTTTTACTGTCTTCATAGTTTTGCCTTTTCCAAAGTGTCATATAGTTGGAATCATAGTTTCTCTGTCATTCAGGCTGGAGTGCAGAAGTGCAGTGGTAATTCGATTTAACCTCGAACTCCTGGGCTCGAGGGATCTGCCCTCTTCTGCCTTCTGAATAGCTGGGACTGCAAGCATGCACCCCGTGCCTGGCTAATGTTTTAATTTTTTGTAAAGACAGGGTCTTGATAGTTGCCCAATTTGGTCTTGAATTCCAGGCCTCAAGTAATCCTCCCACCTCACCTTCCCAAAGGACTAGGATTACAGGCAGGAGCCCAGACAGACTTCTTTAAGTTAGTAATATTTATTTGAAGTTCTTCCATATCATTCTTCTTGATATTTGATTAATGGCTGGGTCAGGTAGGGATGGATCCTGGATACTGTTTTCCAAGGGCTGTTATCAAGATGGAAGAAATTGCCTTTCTCCAGAAATCTTCTTGGAAAGAGTATTGTGCATGGCATAGGAAGGCTCCCAAGGGTCCAAGTCTTAAAGGAGGGTCAGTGAGCTCCGTTCTATGGAGGGAGAGTGCAGTCAACTTCAGGGTGAGGGTTTTGCTGAGTGTAGTCTGTGTTGGAAACAGATGCATGGTGCTGCAAAGAAAAATCAGCACTGAGACAAAGGATCTTTTAGCAAGCAATTTTTACTTCCAGGACTGCAGGAAGGGTACTCTCGCTAGTCACCTTGCCTCGGGAGTACAACGAACAAAGGAAAAGCAAACATATTTATCCCTTATCCATCTGGGGTTGTCCTTACTGCTGTGTCTGATCTCTGTTGGCTGGGGCCAGACCTCACAATCTTAACTAATACCTGATTGGTTAACAACTTAAAACTTTTCTAAACAGGTAAAAACAGTGGAGAGCTGGGACATGCCTGTGAACATGTCCAGCACAGAGATCTTGGTTAAAGTACAAGGAAATAGAATATGCTATGTGCCTGTAAGCATGGCATGTTTAACAGCTACATGGGATAGGGCTTAACAAAGAGTTATTAGCAAATTTATTCTTTAACAAGAAAGGAAACTTGAAAGAGGAACTTTTCTACTTCCCACAGTCTGTAAGTTTGGAACCAGAGCAGAATTATTAACGATTAAAACACCTAAACTTCCATATAAGCAGTGCCCCTCACACAATACCAGGCTTCTAATCTAAATAAATGGTGCGTCAAGAATTTAAAGAATATTGCTGCCAAATTATGAGCCTGGCTGGAGTGGTCACATGTCTTAGAATGGCCCAAGATACATATTTTTATTAGCATGATCTAAAAGAAGGATCACCAGCTTTAGAAGATTAAATTCTTACTTCAATCCTTAATGACATGTTTTGGTGACTTTTTAAATTTCTTTTTTTGCATGATTGATAATAAATACATCATTTACAACATCAAGTGAGGTCACTGAATGACACCTGTGAACGTCTGCATTGTTTGGACAACTTGCTCTACCAGAAGTGTGGTGTTGTCAATGGCTATTTGATTCCCCAAGTCTTACCCTTGTCAAGAACTTGAGTTAGGGAGTGCCAGAGAGAGAGATTTGGAGCTGGTGCTGATTATACACCTCATAATTATATTGTACTTATCACTTCTATTCAGATTTACTGAATGTCAGCTATGAGCATGACTTGGTAGAGGGTGAAGGAGGCGTAGTCTGCTTTTGGCACTTAGTTAATGGAAAATATGTTTCACGTGCTCCTCCTTTCCTTTTCCCATAGGTCCAGGTGAATCCTGAACTTGCTGTTAAGAGTGGCACCTTGGGAGCCGGCATGCTTCCCCTGGGCTCGAGGCTAACTTCTGTTTCTACAAACAGGACCTTAGAACCCAGAAGCCAGAGGAGCCAGGGCAGGAGGTTCCAGGGGCATTCTCTGGAGCTTCCTGAGCCTGGTGGGAGCCCCACGTCAGACAGCTGTGGTGGCACTTCGTGGAAAAGCCCTGGCCGGTCCTTCCAGGCCAGCAGCCCAGCCACAGGTGCCTACCTGCATCTGTCTTCTCATCACCTTGAATCCAGGACCAGAAAGAAGGTCCTCAACTGGGAAAACAGCTTTCAGAAGCTTGAGGCAGAGACAAATGTTGACACGGGGTTCACTATAATAAATTCTGAACCCAGGCAGACTTATTTTGGTGGATTTCCAAGGGATTTGCAGACCAGCCAGCCACCATTCTGCTTGCCGGTCTCTTCCTTAGGGGTGGCTACCTCCCAAAACAGCAGTGTCCTTAAGGAAAGAGTCTGTCCTTTGCCGCTTGCTGGCCAAAGGGACCTTAGTACCAGGAGGACAATTTCAAAATGTCTTCATCTGCACGTTCAGGGTGAAGAAAAAGAAGACAAAGAAGAATTCTTTATATAGCATAAAATGAACGTGGTTTTCTAAAACATAAGCTCAGATAGAATGCTCCAGAAATGGAGTACTGATCCAGAACCAGCCTGTTAGTTTTCATCTGAGAGGGCCTGAGTGTGCTCCATATACAATCTTTATTGGTTTTATTTCAAATGTTCAGTCTAAAGGTGCTGGGAATGAGTGTTTTTTTGCCATCACAATCATAAGCGAACACAGCCAACACAGGGAAAAAACCGAATGTGTTTGTTCCCTGGAGATGCACTAACCCAGCTGGATGTGTTGAATCCAGCACCTATTGGGATAATTGCATTGTATGCAAATGAATTAGTATGTTATACAACACTAATTAGTGTCTGTAATTTGGTTTTAATTTTTACTTAGGCTGCATAGCTCATCCCCCTCGATGATATGGACTGCTATTTATTCTTCAGTGCTTTTTAATTTTTATGTGACCTCTTTTGGTAACTAGGTCTGGTTCACCACATACCCTCTTGTGATTTTACCTTTAATGTTCCTTGTATCTGGAATGAGTGAAAATGCAAAGTATTTCGAAAATTATAAACACTTAATTTTGTTTTCCTGTTTAATGAGCCAAAATACTGGAAGCCAGGAAATCAGGTTAAAAATGAATGCTAGGCTCCAGGGTTTTCCTCCTCGTCTGCTTCTCGTTTGTTTCTGCGCTACGTCAAAGAGGACTGTGGTTCTTGTTACAAACCAAAGAGGAACATGGATGATTGGATGATTCCTGATCTCCACTGAGCACAGGGAAGATTGGATGGGTTGATCTGGTCACTGGAGCAGGACTTGGGTTCCTCTGGCCACATTTCCACTCCCAGATTATTTTACAAAACTCACTCACTTATTCATTTATATATGTTCATTCAATATATATTTTTCTGAATATTTGAGTAAGACATTGTGTATATGGTACATATACCATCTGTGGCCATGAAACCCAAAAAGTGTTTATGGCTTCACCACTATGATAAATTCATTCTGCCAACTCTTTTTTTCTTTTTCTTTTTTTTTGAGATAGAGTTTTGCTCTGTTGCCAGGCTGGAGTGCAGTGGCACAATCTCGGCTCACTGAAACCTCCACCTCCTGGATTCAAGTGGTTATCTTGCCTCAGCCTCCCGAGTAGCTGGGGTTACAGACGCACCACCACTCCAGGCTAACTTTCGTATGTTTAGTAGAGACAGGGTTTCACCATGTTGGCCAGGATAGTCTCGATCTCCTGACCTTGTGATCCGCCTGCCTCGGCCTCCCAAAGTGCTGGGATTACAGGCCTGAGCCACCACGACGAGCCCATTCTACCAACTTTTAAAAGGATATTGAATTCCAAATACATTCCTCCAAAAACGTTTTCCACAGTTGAGGCCCACACTTGCCGCATAATGGTGTGATAAGCATTTGCAGCCTGCAGAGGGAGACTGGGCGGACTATGAATTGCAATTATAATTGCAATGGACAAATTCTCAGTTGCCCATATGCTGAATTTTTTGATTATGTCTGTACACACATTTGTTAAAAACCTGAGGCCTGTGTTTCAGTTCATTTAGAAGGTTATTCGACTCCATGAACTTCACTCTCAGAATAGATGTTACATAAGAGTATAAATGCTGATTCAGCTGGATCTTTTGGAGACTTGGAGACTTACTACACCTAACTGGAGGCAGAGATGAGTTCAGGCCTAAAGTCAAATCTTGCACAAGTGAGTCTAGGCTGATTTTGGGTGCTCTGCTCAGCAAAAGGGATAGAAATGGAGGAAAGTTTCAAATGGACAAAGACAAGACTTCTTAACTGATATTTCTTGTCCTTAAAATACCAGTATATTCTCATTCCCATTTTCTCTCTTTCTCCCCCAGACTAAAATGTGATTTTAGAAAATGGGATGAAGAACTTAACTTTGGTATGGCTTTCTATAATAAGAGTTAAAAACAAAAAATAGAAAGTTCAACTACCAAACTTTGAATAAACACAGCAGGAAGAAGTTTTGAAATTTCCTTTCTACTTTTTTTTTTGTGTTATCTAAATTTTCTTTTCTTTTTTTTGAAGTGAAATGTCTCACATATTTGTTACTGAACCCAGGCAACCAAAACCTTCTTTTTTTTTTTTTCTTTTTAACATGAATAATGGAAGCACTGTGCGTTGTACTAATGCCTTCATAACAGATACAGAAATGAAACTGTTCAAACTTCTCCAGATGGCGATGACATTTTTCAGCTTGATTTGGTAACACGACTGTGACCTACAGACAGCATAAATATGTGTGCCATCACATGTGTAATTTCTTACAGAACAAGCTTGGTTCTTCTCCAATGTCTCCTTTTGGAGTTGTACCTGATTTTATTACCAGTTTTCATCCGAATCCACTGGGGAATGGGACGATTTTGCTTTTGTTTCTTGGCCAGGCTTAATCCTAAAAGTCTTGTGAGAAGACATGGCGAGAAACGGAGTAATGCACACACCACGATGGCGGAGAAAGGAAGCGAGGAGTCTAAATTTTCTTAATATAATCCATGGGTAAGAATACAATTATCTACAAATCATAAAGAATATGAGAAATGTGAATCAGGCACCTTACGAAATTGAGTTGTAAAATAATATACTCTTAAAATGTCATCTATTCTATCTTACTCGTATTATTCAGGGTTCCCTAGGGGAAGAGAACTAATAGGAGATATTATATATATATATATATATGGTAGTTTATTACAGAGAATTGACTCACACGATCACAAGGTGAAGTCCCACAGTAGGTTGTCTGCAAGCTGAGGAGCAAGGAAGCCCGTCTAAGTCCCCAAAGCCTCAAAAATAGGGAAGCCAACAGAGCAGCTTTCAGTCTGTGGCCGAAGGCCCTAGAGACCCTGGCAAACACTGGTGTAAGTCCAAGAGTCCAAAAGCTGAAGAAGTTGGAATCTGATGGAGTCCAGGGTGGAAAGTATCCAGCACAGGAGAATGATGAAGACCAGGAGACTCTGCTAGTGTGGTCCTTCCACGTTCTTCTGCTTGCCCTATTTTAGCCACGCTGGCCACTGATTAGATGGTGCCCACTCAGACTGAGGGTGGGTCAGCCTCTCCCAGTCTACTGACTCAAATGTTAATTTCCTTTGGCAACACCTTCACAGATATACCCAGGAATGATACTTTGCATCCTTCAATCTAATCAAGTTGACCCTCAATATTAACCATCACACTACTCAATATAGGAATTCAATTTACAGCATGATGTGATAGAAATACTACTGGACTGGATGAGGGAGGCCCAGATTTTGGTTTTCTCTTCTAAATTTACTATTGATGTGACCTTGAGAATGTCAGGCTCCTTGGTTCTCTGTTGCTTTATCAACTCTAACAAAAGATTGTTAGGGGACTCAAGATGATGATGTATATGAAAGCATTTGGATTTCATGAAGCATTATAAATGTGTGAGGTTTTTGTGATTATTGTATTTTGTATATTATATAACATAGTGTATTATTAATATCATTGGTCCTTCGGATTCACAGTTTAAAAATGTCATGAGAACGAAGGACTTTTTTTGAAACAAGTTTTAGTAAAATCAATGAGGCAATAAAAAACAAATCCACCCTTCTAAGAGTTTTACTATATGTACCATTTGCTTTATGTTTCTGTAGCTAAGAAGAAAATTATTTATAACAAGTGATCAAATGCATCCTAAAGTTCAACACAGATTGTATACAACCGGGGTAAACTATGAACTAGCTCAATCCAATTTATCAAATTAATGAGACTTAATTAAATTATGTGCTATTCCCTAAAATGTATAATGTGTCACTTGTTAAATCTGAAATGTATAATGTGTCACTTTTTAAACCTGAAAGTCTTCTGATGATTAGAATACTTTATTTTTCTATAAACAAAATCCACATCCATTGTGAGTTCAGTACTAGACCACTGCAATAAAGCAGGTATTGTAATGAAGAAAGTCCCATGAATTTTTTGGTTTCCCAGTGCATATAAAAGTTATGTTTACAATATACTCTAGCCTATTAAGTGTGCAGTAGCATTATGTTCAAAAAAATCCAGTGTACATACTTTAATTAGAAAATATTTTATTGCTAAAAATGCTAATGATCATCTGAGCCCTCAGTGAGTCATAATCTTTTTGCTGGAGGGGCTTGCCTTGATGTTGATGGCTTCTGACTGATCAGGGTGGTGGCTGCTGAAGACTGGGTGCTTGTGGCAATTTCTCAAAATAACACAACAATGAAGTTTGCCACATCAATTAGGACTCTTCCTTTATTAAAGGTTTATCTGTAGCATGTGACACTGTTCTGTAGCCTTTTGTCCACAGTAGAACTTCCTTCAAAATTGAAGTCAATCCTCTTAAACCCTGCCGTTGCTTCATCAACTAAATTTATAGACTATTCTAAGTCCTTTGTTGTCATTTCAACAATGTTCACAGCATCTTCATCCAGAGTAATTTCCATCCCAAGAAACCACTTTCTTTGCTCATCCACAAAAAGCAACTCCTGATTTTCAAGTCTTATTATGACATTAAAGCAATTCAGTCACATCTTCAGGCTCCACTTCTAATTCCAGTTCTCTTGCTAACTTCCTGCTAATTGACAATGCTCTTGGTCACCCAAGACCTCTGATGGAGATGTAGAAAGAGATGAATGTTGTTTTCATGCTTGCTAACATAACATCCATTCTAGCCCACAGGTCAAGGACTCATTTCTACTTTCAGGTCTGCGATTACTTCCTTCACTGAAGTCTTGAACCCTCAAAGTCATTCATGAGGGTTGGAATCAGTTTCTTCTAAACTCCTGTTAAAGTTGCTATTTTGACCTCCTTTCATGAATCACAGATGTCCTTGATAGCATCTAGCATAGTCAATCCCTTCCAGAAGCTTTTCAATTTACTTCACTCAAATCTATCAGAGGAATCACTCTCTATGGCAGCTATCACCTTGCAAATTCTATTTTTCAAATCCTAAGACTTGAAAGAATAAATGACTTCTTGATCCATGAGCTAGAATGGATGTTATGTTAGCAAGCATGAAAACAACATTTATCTCTTTGTACATCTCCATCAGAGCTCTTGGGTGACCGAGTGCATTGTCAATTAACAGTAATATTTTGAAAGGAATCTTTTTTTTTTTTTTCTGAGCAGTGAGTCTCAACAGTGGGCTTAAAATATTCAGTATGCCACACTGTAAACAGATGTGCTGTTGTCCAGGCTTTTTTGTTCCATTTATAGAGCACAGGCTGTGTAGATTTAGCATACTTTTTCAGGATCCTAGGATTTGCCGAATGGTATGTGGGCACTGGTTTCAATTTAAAGTCACCAGCTGCATTAGCCCCTAACAAGGGAGAGAGCCAACCTGTCCTTTGAAGCTTTGAAGCCAGGCATTGACTTTTCCTCTGTGTAAGTCCTAGAAGGCATCTCCTTCCAAAGAAAGGCTATTTCATGTACACTGAAAATCTTTTATTTAGTGTGGCCACCTGTATAAACAATCTTAGCTGGATCTTATTGACAATTTGCTGCAAATTCTATATAAGCTCTTGCTGCTTCACCTTGTACTTTTATGTTATGGACATAGCTTCCTTTTTTCAAACTCACAAGCCAACACCACTGTTAGCTTCAGACTTTTCTTCTGCAGCTTGCTCACGTCTCTCAGCTTTCACAGAATTGAAGTTATGGCCTTGTTCTGGATTAGGCTTTGGCTTAAGGTGATGTTGTGGCTGGTTTGATCTTTTACGCAGACCATCCAAACTTTCTCCATATAGCAATATGGCTGTCTTGCTTTCTTATCATTCATGTGTTCACTGGAGTCACATTTTTTATTTTAAGAATTTTTTTTTTTTTTTTGCATTAACAACTTGGCTAACTGTGTGTTGCAAGAAACCTCGCTTATTTCAGTTTTTGACCTGCCACCTTCACTAGGCTGCACCATTTCTAGCTTTTAATTCATTTATTTACTTATTTGTTTTTGAGACAGAGCCTCTTGCTCTGTCACCCAGGCTGGAGTGCTCACTGCAGCCTCCACCTCCCAGGTTCAAGCAATT